GAGAAGAACACATGTTTGGTAAAGTGAAGGGGCAGCAAAAACAAGGAAGACCCTCAATGAGGTAGATTGACACAGCGGCTGCCTTAATGGGCTCAGGCATAGGAACAGATGTGAGGAAGGCACAGGACCATGCGGCGTGTCCTTCTGTGGTGCAGAGGGTCGCTATGGGTCAGACTTGACTCAATGGCACCCAACAACAACAACCACCACAACATTGACATCAACAACAACAGCAAGGATGGAGAGACCTTCTCATGCACTTTGGACATGTTGTGAGGAGAAACCAGATCCTGGAGAAGGATATTATGCACGGCAAAGTAGAGGCTTAGTGAGAAAGAGGAAGAGTCTCAATGAGATGGCCTAGCACAGTGGCTGCAGCAATGGGATCAAACATAGCATCAATTTTGAAGATGGAGAAGTACTTGGGCATGTTTCCTTTGGTTGCACGCAAACAACGTCAACATCAACAACGAAATAATTGTTTTGCAAAATCTTTCTCTATTGAATTAGAACATTATTAGTTACAATACAGTGGAGGAGCAAAAGGTTTAATTTGTTCTCTCTTTTTCTTTTACGTATTATTTCATTCTCAAAATAGTTATTGATATTTAAGTTCACAGAGACTCATGCCCACAACACTGGACCATCTGACAACAGCAGCAGCTATGAAAACACGGGCAGCAATGGAAACAACAGCGCAGCACATCCAGACAAAACCTGAGAGTCACGGTGCCATTGCAATTGGGTAATAAAGACAGCGGATGGGGTTGCATCCCCCCTCACTGCCGTGGAACCGGTTCAACTCACAGAGAGCTTACAGGACAGCGCAGAGTCACCCCCTAGAGATTCCAAGGCTGTAAGTCTGTATGGACACTGACTCGTGGGAGGAGCTGCTGGGCTCAAATTGCCAATCATCTGGTTAGCAGCCTAATGCTTAACCTACCGCACACAACATTTTAAAAAGTATATTAGCATAGAGTTTTGGCCTTGTGGCATATGGCTACATGTAACTTGGGTTTACAAAACATGCTCTTTTTGTTATAACGAATCACAGGGATTTTAAAAATAAAAAAACTGATACATTCCTATGGGAAGACTACATTTGGATGTCACCCTCTCTGACAGTGTCATTTGGCATTTTTGCAACCCCCATACTCCCAATAATGCAACTGCATAGTATAATGGGTTGTTATTTAGGGGACAATACCCATCAATTATGGAGCTGTAGTCTTTCTGAGGGACCCCACATGTAAAAATCACGGGTTGATAACTTGTAGTTCAAATCTTAGAACTTCAGGCACGAGCAGTTACAAGACTCATACTGGGCAGGGAGAGAGAGCTTGTTTAGCCAAATGCCAGTACATGGGGTGGGCAACTTTGTAGGAGCAGTTTTGACTCTTTGACTGTTTTCTCATCTTGAAAGCGAATGAGTTGTACAAGATGATCTCACGAGACATGGCATGTCTGACATTTTCTGATTCAGGTGACACATCTGAAGTATGTAAATGGTGAGGCTCACTCAGGTTGACTTCAAGTTAAAATCTTCCCAGAATTCACTGAGCTCATTGGCTCATTGAAAGGTCAGCGTAGAAGCAGGACATTGAGAGCCTCCTGAGGCTGTCTGAGGTGGGGCCAGAGAGAGGATGTGATATTCACGGTAGGTTCCTTGGTTTAGCCTAACATAATTTGGATTTTGCTTTAAAAAAAGTAGCGCCTAGTTTTGAACTGTATACCCTTACCCCCCAATAGAATTTAGCCTCCACAATGTCTTTTCCACTACTCACTTGAGAATGATAGGGAAAACTTCACCAAAGGGCAATTAGAAGTCTCCCCTCTATATTTAGGTTAATTAGAAGATACGTTTCTTAACATTTGAATGAAACTATTGAGCAGTTGTCTTTTTCTCCCATTAGAAACTCCCCAGAGAGGGGACACTAGAAAAGTTCAGGGAATTTAATTCTCTAATCTCAGTTTTCCATCTCATACACCTTAAAAACTCCGGGCTTCCCAATATAGCAAACATTTCCCTCAATCCTCTGTTTGGTAGGTTTTTAGAGTAGACTGACCCATGCAGCTTTTTAAGGTTAGATTGGCACACTGAGGTCATGGCATTGAAGGCACCTGGTGAGACCTTGGGGGAAGATCAACCATTAGTGGTGCCTTGTAGGTGTGGAATACGTTCTGAGTCAGTTATAGTCATTGAGCTCTTATTTTTGATGGCCAGACCCTCAGTCAGGGCATTCAAACTGGATTCCACACAATTTCCTACATGGAAACCCTTTCTTACATTTGTTGACTCTTTCAGTTGATAGTGCAGACCTTATACACCATCCTGTTCAAAGTCTCTCCTTCCTAGTTCAAGGACAGGGTTTTGGCCTCTGTGAAAAATCTACTTTATATCTTGACTTGGAGTGGCGGTGAGAGTCATTCTCACCTGAACCACTGGTACCCTGGCCAGTGCAGGATAGTTTTAGAGTTAGATTTCCATCCACCTGGGTGCTATGCATTTTCAGTATGACTCTTTTGAAAAATTCAAGTGGCCGGACGAAGATACTCTCACCTCTTTTGGGGAAGAAATGAAAATTAGTCTCATCTGAGCCTGAATATAGGGAAATTAGCCTCACAGATTTTGCCGAGAACCAGGTCTTGAGCCAAGATTTCGACTTGTGCATGGTAACCCAATTTTTCTATTTCTTTGATCACTTTAGACTTTGTTAGTGAAAGCGAGCCTGTTGTCCCAGGGTGATGTGATACAATCAAGTCAGTTTTCTGATTCCAGAATACATCTGGAAGAAGCTGATGAGAATCAAAGCCACAAACTATACTCAAGGTATGTTTATTTGTTTAGTCTAATGAGCAGCCTGCTTTGGATTTTATTTTTTAAAAGTTGGGCTTAGTTTTGGACTGTATATCCTTACTGCCATATAAGGAAAGTTCTTTTAGACCCCACAGATAAAATGTCCTGGCCACTGTCAATGGCTAATAGGTCTGACCACATTTTTATGGAATAGTCTCGCAAAGATTTTCCATTTCTACTCAGAGATTCCATAAATGTCCATTTCTTTTCATTCTTTTTAAAACAACTTTTAACCCTTAACAAAAGATGATCATTGCATGCACATCTTGCTCTGCTCACCTTCAACCATCTTGGCAAGATTAAAACTCCTACTTTTTAAAATCCGAAAGCTAAATTGCCCCTCCCAACTCCTCTTGGAAGACTTCTCTCCCTGGCCCCCATGTCAGAAGCCAATATAAGAACAGAGAGCATTCATTTTTGAAGCTAAAATTCACAGAAGGCAATAGAGGCATTTTCTTCCCTTACGGCAACACAGCTCTATCTAAGACTCTTGTTTTCTACATCAGCAGCCTGTGAGTGAAGCATTGCCATAGGCTGCAGTGCCCACTGTATCTACCACAGAGGGATGAGCAGGTGCGCAGAGGAGCATGGTGGGGAGGTAAGGGAAGAACACAGCAGCAAGCATAGAAGTAAGGAACCTGAGACTCAGAGAGGTCTGGTCACTTGTCCGAAGCCACATAGCTATCATTGAAACTACAGCTCTGGCTTCTGTAGAGGCCCTTACATTGGCAGTAGAATAAGTATTTCATGTCAATTTTTCTGTGCCCCATGAAGTGCTAGTGTTTTCCAACCCAAATTATTCTGTAAGGCATGAAACCAACTCTGCTTTCTAACAGGCAGAAGAAAGAGGCTAGAAGGGGTTGGGGGAAAGCGACATCACCAAGATCCCACCATGGTTCTTGGAGGTGGATATGGAGAAGGGGAATTATGAAGCTGTAACCGGATACCTTCATGGACTATGGCTGAGGTGCAGGTCAAAGATTTTTAAGTCTCACTTGTTAGTTGACACTTAAGTCAGAGCACAGCCAGTCTCTGCAAGGAAAGGCTGGGTGTCCAACCTGCTTCCTGCAGCAACAGCACCTTGCAAAAGATGTTGCTCTTTTGTTAGTGTCCATCCAGTCGGGTCTTACCCAGGCTGACCTTATGGAGGACAGGAGGAAGTACTGCCTGGTCCAACCCCATTCTCACCATCTTTGGTGTGCGGGGTCCTTTGTTGCAGCCACTGTGTCAACCGATCTTATGAAAGATTCCCCTCATTTTTGTTGGCCCTCTATAAAACAGGATGTCATGCTAGCAGAAGCTGGAAAGGCAGAATACAGGCTTAAAAGTTTTTCTCTCCTGGCTTGCAGTTTGCATTTAAAAATAGATGAGTCATTCAGGTTTCAAAATAGCACTATACAATAAGTGTGGCTTTGGGTAAGTGAATGCACCTCTCTGTCTCTTGGTTTTCTTAGGATAAAATATCCCCTCATTTTTATTGTGGTGAGATTAGATTGGCTAATGCATGTGCCTGGATCACAGAAAACATTTCAACAAAGCATTATTACATGGTCGAATCCTATTTTGAGAAGGATACCACACAGTCAATGATAGTCCTTCCCCCCCCCTTAAATTATTTTATTGGGGGCTCATACAACTCTTGTCACAATCCATCCATCCATCCATTGTGTCAAGCACATTTGTACATTTGTTGCCATCATTATTCTCAAAACATTTGCTTTCTTCTTGAGCCCTTGCTATCAGCTCCTCATGCGCTCCCTCCCCCTCTGTCCACTAGATCTTATGTAGAAAGTTTTGGGAGAACCAAAGGCAATATGGGAACTCAGGAGGGAGCAGTAGTCTTTAAGGCCAGAAAACTCCCTGCTGTTTGAGTTGACTTCCTACCTGCAGTGACTCTATGGGGCAGAGTAGAAGTGTCCTTGTGGGTTTCTGAGACGAAATTTTTACCGGACTAGAAACCCTCATTTTTCTCCCCCAGAGTGGCTGGTGGTTTCTATCTGCTGACCTTGAGGTTAGGAGACTCAACATAAAACCCATTGTGCATGCCACCAGAGCTCCTCCTAAAGCCTGAAAAGGATACTTCACGCACTGAGAGTTCTTTCATTTCTCTGCTTCCAGGCTGTCACTCCTTGCACGTTGAAAGATGGCTGCTACAAGCAATGTGACTGAGATACTTTTCTTGGGATTTTCCCAGAACCGGAATGTGCAGAAGATCATTTCTGCGGTGTTTCTCCTCATGTACACAGCCATTGTGTTGGGCAATGGCCTCATTGTGGTGACCATCATGGCCGGCAAGGGTCTCACCTCGCCCATGTATTTCTTCCTCAGCTACTTGTCCTTTGTGGAGATTTGTTACTGTTCTGTCACCGCCCCCAGGCTGATCATTGACTCCTTCATTGAGAAGAAAGTGATTTCTCTCAAGGGCTGCATCACACAGATATTTTTCCTCCATTTCTTTGGTGGTACCGAGATTTTTCTCCTAACAGTGATGGCCTATGACCGCTACGTGGCCATCTGTAAGCCCTTGCACTACACGCTTATCATGAACCGACGTGTGTGTGGCCTCTTGGTGGGAGCCGCCTGGGGTGGGGGGTTGCTGCATTCTGCCGGGCAAACCTTCCTTATTTTCCAGCTGCCCTTCCGTGGTTCCAACATCATTGACCATTACTTCTGTGATGTCCACCCTCTGTTGAAGCTGGCCAGCTCAGACACCTTCCTCATTGGACTGCTCATCATTGCCAATGGTGGCTCCATTTCTGTGGTCAGCTTCGTGGTGCTGCTTGCGTCCTACGTGGTCATCCTCCACTCGCTGAGGAACCAGAGCTCAGAGGGCCGGCGCAAGGCTCTCTCTACCTGCGCCTCACACCTTGCCGTTGTGGGTCTATTCTTCATACCCTGTTCTTTCGTTTACATGAGACCTTGTGTCACCCTCCCGGTGGACAAGATAGTGGCTGTGTTTTACACAGTGGTCACACCACTCCTAAACCCCATCATCTACTCCTTCAGGAATGCAGAGGTGAAGAATGCCGTGAGGAGACTGATGGGGAGGAAAGTGACTTGGGAAGAAAAGTAGATGCTGAAGGAGGAGTTAGAACTCGGGGGCATACAAGATCTCACGTTGCCTCCACCTTGAATGGACAGGGTGTCCTCAAGAGAATCACCTTCTTTCTTTAGATTTCAGTTTCATGGTCTTTATGAGATGGGACTGGAGGTTTGCCCTGTTTCAGGCAGCACAAGTTGCCTTAGCAGGGTGAGCCATTAGAACAGAAGAGATACAGACTGTATTGTCAGTAAATTCACATGAGCGCATGCTTGCATTCGACTCATCTTTCAAATGAATCAAAATGAAACTTCCAATGAGAGTTCAAGTGATTTCTCCAGACATCATTGTTATCTTTAAAATTCTCTTCTTTCCACACTTATCGATCCCCACTCTCTTTCCTCCCAGTCCTTCCTTCTTAAGCCTCCAGTTTTAGACATTAAGCCTGTTAGTTTTCTTTTAGATGATGAGCTCCTTCTTGAGTTCTCTTGCTTCTCGGCTATTCCAACAAAGGACCCAACTAAGCCACTGTGTACCACCGGACACCTTGTTCATACCTGACTAGTCCACCTCTCCCTACGCTGCTACTGCCGACCTGCCTGTTGATTAAGGTATGGGTTTTACTGCTCTGGGTCCTTCTTGCTGCCCTACTCTGTTTTCACCATCTCTGTTGAGTCTTATTTCCTGCAGTCGTCTCTCCAGACCATAAGAATGTGCACCCAAATCCTAAATGCAATTCTCCCCTTCACTCTTAGCAGATTTTCTTTTTTCCACATGCTTGCGGATGAAACATTTTAAAGTATTTCTCTCATTTCCTCCTCCTCCTCCCGAAAGACCTCCAATGACTCCTTATTGTCTGATGAATCAACTACGAATGCCTTACTTGACCTGAAACACTCAAGGGATGACCTTCCCTGCCTGTTCTGTCTTTCCCTTTATTAGAAAACATTTGAGGGCTCTTACAGCTCCTGTAACAATCCATACTTCCATTGCATCAAGAAGATTTGTACATATGTTGCCAGCATTATTTTCTAGACACTTATTTTCTACTGAGCCCTTGGTGTCAGCTCCCCTTCCACTGCCCCACTCTCGTGGCCCCTTCATAAATTACAAATTATTATTATTTTCATATCTTACACCGACTGCTGTCTCCCTTCCCCCATGGTTTCTGTTGTTCGTCCCCATGGGGGTGCAGTTATGTGTTGATTATTGCAATTGGTTCCCCGCTATCTTTTCTTTAAGAGAATTTTATTGTCACTTTATCCACAGATCATACAATTCAATAGTTCAATCATATCAAGAAGAGTTGTACAATCATGACCACACTCACTTTCAGATCAGATCATTTTCTTCTTGAATGCTCTGTCGTCACGTTAAATTGCCCTTGAGTGGAGTTTCCTGATTTCTGAGCATCTTTAATGCCTTTCCCATACCTTTCAATAGCCTACCCACCCTGCAGCACCCAGAGTCTATGAGAACCCCATCTGGATATGTACTACTCTCTTTGCAAACTCGATAAGCACCCAGTGTTCCCACTGGGCCCTGGAAGGCCTTTACCTCCTGAATTGCATTTTCTACCCACACTCATTAGAGTGTCATTGCTTTGAGAATATGGTCTGGATCTATGATCTTTGTATCTTTGATTCTAAATAAAATATGGTAAAACAATAAATACTTGGTCAGTAAAATTTTTGTGAAGTTATTTGCATGTCAACGTGTAAGGGAATAAATGGTTGGTGCACTCTATTTTCATCTCAGTCATGTTAGTAATATACCAATGCTATACAGCCTAGGGGAATCAATAATCACTTTCGATACTGTTTCTGACAATGATATTTAGATATGAATAATGAATGTGTGTATGTGTATTTTTACAGTTTACTGAGAGCTTTTGCATGTACTGTAATAGCCTGGCTAGCTAGATTTTAATCCTTGTTCTTGTAGATGAAAAGATTGCAAGCAATCAGTGTCTTAAAAAATTTAACTTTTTTAGTTGTTGTTTAAACGATACACAGAACATACAGCAATTCAACCATTTCTACATATAACATTCAGTGACTTTGATTACATTCTTCATGTCATTCAACCATTTTTACCATCCTTTTTTTGTGTGTGGCATTTTAAATTTAGGATTGTTTTACTTAAGTTTAATATTAATTCACCATCCTTTTCTGAATCATTCCTCTACCATTAGTATAAACTCACTGCCCTCTAAGGTTCCTATCTAGCTTTTATTTTTTTACAATTTTATTAGCATATATTTAGCAGCTCAGATTAGTTAATTTGGAGATTTTAATTTGTACAATATGAATGAGTTTTTATATTTTCATTTTCTTTTCTAAAAAATGTTGCTATTATCAATTTGATCATATATAGATAGTTTCTTCAAAGAGCAAAATGCTCAAGACAGGTTTGTTTTTTATCCCACTAGTTAGGTTATTGTTTGGTGCTAAGATTTCAGGGAATATTTGAGTTTAAGGTTTAAAGATTATTTTGGGCAATAGTTTCGGGGACTCATTCAACCGTCATGGTTCCAGGAGGCTAGCGTTCATGAGGATTTGAAATTCTATTCTCCGTTCCTTCTCTTTGATCAGGATCCTTGTATAGAATCTTCTATCCAAATGTTCAGCAATTGTAGCCAGGCAGGAAGTCAGGATTTTGATGAAGGTCATGCAGTAACTCACTGTGTCTGAATCTAAACCCAGACCTGAAGTTAGGTCTGCTTGATTTCTAAGGCATGTATCTCGCTTATATGGCTGAAAATGGAAATAGGTTTCATTAAGGATTTTTTTGCATCCCTGTACATGGGAGGCTATTATTCTGTAATTTAATTTTTTAAATAATATCTTTGTTAGATTTTGATGGCAGAGTTAACTTGATCTTCTAATGGAATGGGAAAATTTCTTTTCTATTTTCTGGATTTAAAATTTATTTTTTTCTTACTTAAATGTTTGACAGGATTTATCCTGTCTTGGTCTAGAGTTTCTTCTTCTTTATTTTAAGTTTTTAAACAATGAACTCAATATCTTTAAAAAATATCAAAAGTTTCTGCTTAATTTTGGGTCAATTTGGTAAGTTTTATTTTACAAGGAATTTTTGTATTTCCCCTAAGTTGTAGAATTTGACGACATGAAACAATCATATTCTCACATTATCCTCACTGCCCTCCAACAGTTTTATTGGCATATCGTTCACATATTATATAATTCCATAGTTCAATCGTTCAATCTTATTAAGGGGAAAGGTACAATCATTACTATATAACTCTTAGAGCATACTCCCCACAGCCCAGACAAATCATTTTTAAAATGAGTTGTGCAATCACAGTCCGTTTTAGTGTTCCTTCATTATTTACTCCCGAAATATCCTTTTCCTCCCTATCACCCCGCCACCCCTGTGTTCCCTATAGACCCTTGTATCAGTTATTATCATTATGCTTCCACTCCTCCTGTGCTTCATAGCTGGAGACCCAACAGAAAACAATAGAAAACAAAATCCCACTAAGGTGGTAAGGATAAAATGATCATAGTGCAAAGATAAAAATACAAATAATGTGTAAGAAGGAAAAGACCCCCATCAACAGTCAAAAACCTGGGAAGAAATTTCTGTCACGGAACCAGTAAGAGATACTTTCACTCAGAACAAATTCAGGCCACGTCTATAGGGTGGTCGAGTGGCCAAGTGTGGAGTTGGATCCAGCACAATCAAGATTACCATGGTCTCTGCCTGATTGTAAGGCTGTTCTAGACTCTTGCCTGTGGCCAAGCAGATCTGCCAGGGGCCCAGTCTGATTAGATACTTTCAGATGGGCTTTGGGCTCCCACCGTCCCCCATAGCCCTCCACAAATGAGGTGTTCATAATTTTAGCTCTGATGCCTTTCTCCTCACCATATTCATATTTCGTAATTGTCATCTTGGATCACACAAGCTCATTATCCTTTAGGTTTGGTAATGCTATCCTCTTTTCTTCTTAATATTAAAATTTCACGCCTTCTTCTTTCCATTTATCTATTATCTGTCTTCATCATCATACCATCATCTACATCGTTCTACGAGTTTATTTGTTTTGCTGGCCTTTTCAAAGAATCATATTTGGCTTTTGTAGTAAAACGTTTCCTGTTTGCTTTCTATGGGATTAATTTATATTCTTATCATTCCTATTTCCTTCTTTTATTATTCTTTTTTTCCCTAGCTCTTAAGGTATGAAGTCTGGTTGTTGATTTTTGGCATTTTTTTCATTAAAAAAATTTAAAAACTATAAATTTCCTTTAAATTAGAATTTGGTTACATCCTACATTAATATCTTACATTTTGCATTTTCATTATCATTCAGTTATTAATGAATTTTAAAAATTATTTCTTCTTTGACAAGTGTAGTATTATAAGTATGCTGCTAATTTCTAATTTCCATTTGTGTTTTCTCTTTGTCATCTTCTTATTTTTTAATTTCTTGTAGCCAGAGAACATACTCCATATAATATAATTCTTTTTACATTTATTAAAGCTTGCATTTTGGCCCACCATGAGGTCTATATTTTGGAATGTACCATGTATGCTTGAATAAAGAAACTGTAATAGTTAGTGTTACAGTCTGTGCTCTGTAAGTATGAGGAGACTTCCAAGAGTTCATGGAAAATTTTCATTTAAAAAGAAATTCCACATTCCATGAACTTTTTGAAGCTCCTTCAAAGAATTTACATTAAAGGGGTTTATATGTTCATGTTTTATTTAGCCTTTACTGGTTAAAAACATCTATACTACCACTTACTGAGTTTAATTCCATCTGTGATTGTGCAGGTATATATTTCTTTTAACTTAAGTAAGGAAAAAATATCAAATATAGATGAATAAACGGCAGCACAGGGAGAGTAAGTCAATCGTTGAAGGTTATACACCTAGAAAGAGGCAAAGCAGGACTTTCAGCAAAGCAGTTTACTCTTAGTTCTTCTTAAATAAGAACCTATACTGACCTCGGCTTGTCCCACCCACCATGAGGTAGAGACTCTTCAGAGGTTTGTTAACTTCAGGGAGCC